TTTTAAGATTCATAATCATAACTAACTTTTTCTAATTATCAGTTCGTCATTGTTACCATATTCATGAAGGTCTCAACATTAGAAAATTTCCATTTCAGAAGCGTATTTGAACTATATAAAATGTGTAGCTTTTTTTTAATGCTTCTGATATTGTTTTGTGATATTTTTATTTGTACGATGAATGGCAAAATTCATAATCCATATTAGAAACTTTTTTCAGTGGCTTCTCAAAAAGAAAGAAATTCTTAGTAAAAGTTGCCGCATCCCCAAACTAGAAGAGCATATTTATTTTTTTTAATATACAATGTAACTTTTTTTAGTTCGAATTAAGTCATTCACAATACAAATAAAAATATCACAAAGGAGTATTAGAGATATTTAAAAAAATACTCACACTATTTATACTATTTCAAAAACGCTTTTGAAATGAAAATGATCTAAAGTTGAGAGCATTATGAGAACAATATGGTAATAAAATTATTATGTTACTCAAACATTTCTGAAAATATACTGAAACGTAAAACAAAAATATCGAGGGCATAAATGGAACATAAAAAGAATGTTACTGAAACCAATTTTTTGAAACGTTTCATTGGAAACGTATTTTGGGGAGGACATCTTGGGCTTCTAGAACGTTACCAGAACGTTGCATGGATTTTTTATGAAACGTTTCAAGAAAAATGGAAACATTTCTGAAACATGTCAGAAACTGAAAAATGTTTAGTGGGATAAAGCAAGAATTTCTTGCAGTCATAGCAGAATATTTATCTTTACAAAAAAAAATAGAGATTATTAGATGAAGGGGTGAAAATTTCCGTAGTTTTTGTTCTCAAAATATATTTTGGAATGAATATTATCCTAAGAGGCAGTATTCCCAGAAAGTTAATGTGTTTTGCGGAATTTCAAAGCACAGAGTAATAGGTCCCTTATTTTTTTATAACTTGAATGGTGAAGTACCTCGTGAAGTGTAAATGAATTATGGGACATTATACGCGATATTCTTTTATTGGAAACAAGAAATATTTATTTACAGTTGGATGGAGCTCCAAACCACAACACTGTCCAATCAAATTGGCTTAATCACCAATTTCTGATAAGAGGATTGGGAGAAGGAATCCAGTAGTACAATGGCCGCCAAGATCCCCTGATTTGTCCTCTATGGACTTTTATCTTTGGGGGTTTTATAAACAAAAAGATTATAAAAACAGACCAAGGAATTTAGATGACCTAAAAAATCGCATAAGACAAGCTTGTGCAGAAATTATTCCACAGCAGCCATGTAAAGTATTTTTAAATTTAAGAAGACGATTGGAAAATGTGTTCGACTAGAAGGAGGTTTGGTGGAGAAAACTAAAATTTAATTTAGATCGTTTTGCAATTTTTTATTTAATAACATAATTCATTACATTTTTAGTAGGTACGTTAATAATTTTACTGTGTCTGTATTTTTTCTTTGTCCGATTGGTACTTGTTTTCACTTTCATAGCAATCTTTGACCTGCTTATTATAATTTTTAGTTGTCTAATTTTTCGAAGTTTGGTTTCCCATAAAAAAACACTCAACAGACATTTGGAATATGGGTATTTTGATGCGTGTTAAATAGCCTGGTAATATTATACAGGGTGTCCGGTAAGTACCTTCTAATCTCTCGGGAGTGTATAGGGGAGGTCAAAATAAAACTAGTCCTTCCTATAATTTTTTTTCCTAATGTGCCCCCTAACGGAGTTATGGGGGGTCAAAGGGGTACCTAGAAATTAACGTTTAGGGTTATAACTTTGAAACCACCCTGTATATTTTAATAAAATTTTCGTACGTTGTATTACACATGGAGCTCTACGATTTGATGCTAAAATCAACTTTTTGCTATTATCAGGTGTCCAGAAACGGACTGGCCCTATCACAATTTTTCTCAAAATTTTGACAGAAGTAATTTTATCAAACTGAAAATATTATTATTAGATACTCTGAAGGTTTTTCTTTAAAAATGGTACTCTTTATTTATTTCGAAAAAATGAACGGTTTGCGAGATAAATCGGTTTTGAAAAAAATTGGTAACAAATACAACAACAATTAAAATTTATTTTTTTTACATATTATTTCATGCATTTAATTTCTTTAACTTTATCAAGTCCAGAAATCTTTGAACGGGTTGGCTATACTTTATGAGCAAGTAGTGACCAATTAAAAATAACATTTGAAAAATAACTTACTTACAAGACATGCAACAAAGAACATTCAACAATGAACAAAGGTACCTAAATGTTACTTCGGTAGATGTTCAAAATGAGCACCCCGTACTTCAATGCACTTTCTAATCCTACGAATGTTTTCCCGGTGCACTTGAAATAATATTCCGTGATTATTGCGGAGATGGTCACAGTTCTGTGTTAGCCTCAGCAGAAGTTCCTCTCTACTATTTACGGGTGTTGAATAAACGTTATTTTTTAAATGACCCCACAGAAAAAAGTCTAATGGGTTTAGGTCGGGCGACCTAGGTGGCCATAATACAGGTCCGCCTCGACCTATCCATCGATCACCAAAAACATTCGTCAGATGTTGACGTACTAAACGATCAAAGTGGGGTGGTGCACCGTCATGCATGTACCACATTTCAGTTCTTATTTGAAGGGGCACTTCTTCTAACAAAATATTTAGATTTTCCTCTAAAAATTGCAAATAAAGAGCACCATTAAGTCTTTGCTCCAGAATAAATGGACCAATCAAATGATTCCCGATAATGCCAGCCCACACATTCACCATAAACCTTTGTTGGTAGCGAGTTTGAACTAAAGCGTGAGGGTTTTCTTCATCCCAGACATGTAGATTATGCGAATTAATTATGCCGTCTCTTGTAAAACCTGCTTCATCGGTGAACAAAATAGATGTACCAAAATTATGATTCCGAATATGATGCTGTAAAAACCAATTGGCGTATTGAAGTCTTTTTGGATAATCATCTGGAGACATAGCATGTACTTTTTGGATGTGGTACGGGTAAAGCAATTGTTCTTTCAGAGTTTCATGTACAGCCCATTTTGTAACATTGTTTTGCGCCGCAAGCTTCCTTATGCTATTTGAAGGATTATTAGCAACGTCTTCCAATATTTGTTCCTCTACATGAGGGTCTCGTACTCTCCTCGGGGCTCCTGCTCCACCACGGCGTGGCAAAAAGCTTCCTAAATAAAGGATTCGGAAGAAATTAGTTTCACTAACGTTTTTCACTATTTTTTTTTACCTGTTTCTCTTAAACTACGATCAACTCTTTCAAAAGTTTTTGGACTCGGCAAATGTCGACCCGGAAACCTTTCCTCATAAAGTCTTCTTGCCTCCACGGAGTTGCATAATGCTTCCCCATAAATTAGGTGCATATCAGCATATTCTGCACAGGAATATTCTTCCATTTTTAAATGTTATTTCTAACGGCTTAAAACGAATACCACAATAAAATTGAATTTTTATTCTGTCACGCGCCTTTGACAAGTACTTTAAAATCAACAGGGTCTAACAACGAAAACAATAGAAAAGAACTCCATGGAGACAAGAGCAATAATAATTTGTAGATGTATTTTGGTCATAGATGTTGATTTTACAAGAAACGGCATTATTCATTCCCTTAATTCACCACCAGTAAATGTTTATGGTGAATCTGTAGGCTGGCACTAGCGGGAATGATTTTATTGTAAAAAAATAAATTTTAATTGTTGTTGTATTTGTTACCAATTTTTTTCAAAACCGATTTATCTCGCAAACCGTTCATTTTTTCGAAATAAATAAAGAGTACCATTTTTAAAGAAAAACCTTCAGAGTATCTAATAATAATATTTTCAGTTTGATAAAATTACTTCTGTCAAAATTTTGAGAAAAATTGTGATAGGGTCAGTCCGTTTCTGGACACCTGATAATAGCAAAAAGTTGATTTTAGCATCAAATCGTAGAGCTCCATGTGTAATACAACGTACGAAAATTTTATTAAAATATACAGGGTGGTTTCAAAGCCTAACCCTAAACGTTAATTTCTAGGTACCCCTTTGACCCCCCATAACTCCATTAGGGGGCACATTAGGAAAAAAAAATTATAGGAAGGACTAGTTTTATTTTGACCTCCCCTATACACTCCCGAGAGATTAGGAGGTACTTACCGGACACCCTGTATTTTTGATAAAAAAATGCCTAATATACCACTTTCTGGAAAATTGGCCCTTTAAAAAAGTCCTAATAATCAGGCTTTTGTCGCATCAATAAAATGATCACTAAAATATAACCCCCCTTAAGGGTACTATTTGCAAAAAAATTGGCTTGCGGGAAGTCCTCAGCCTTCTTACATTTTCAGAGGTGTTAACCTGAAAAACTGGACACACTATATATGTACAACTCATATTACGTTTCTAAGATATTGGGTATTGTAAGTTTTTTTAATTTTTTTTCAATATCCCCAAGACGAGTAGATAGGTAATAGTTTGGTGGGGTTAGGACGTATCAGACTATCATCAGTTTGACCAAAATAAAATTTTTCATATCAAATTATTTTGATCAAACTTGATTTAAAATGTAAGGTATTTAACACCATTTCTTCACAGATTCAAAGTCGCGTTAGGTTGAAAATTGTTTATTAATTAAATATAAATAAGCAATCACAGAAATTAGTAAAAAATTCCCATCACTCAAATTCCATCCATATTACTAAAATTGTTTCGAAAAAAAATTTAAAACAAAAACGAAAGACTGTCATGATTCTGAAAATAAAGTGAGGAAGAACCCATTTTGATATGCACTTTCACTACGTATGCAACGAATTTTTGTGTTTAATTAGTTAAATCTCTAACTCAAGTTTCTTTTCATACAAACATTTCGTTAAAAAATTGAAATCTTTAGTCATTTTTAGACACTGAAAAAAAAAATTACAAAAAAACAGCTTTTTTAACACGTACCTTAGTAGGCACTTGATATATGTTGGTTGTTCACATTTCACATTAAACCTAGAAGTACAGAACTAGTTAATCATGTGGGGTCTCAACACTTTGCTTAGTGATGGATTAGAAGCATTGCAACCGATTACCAAAAAGAAACTGGAGAAAATTGAAAATTTAAAGCATAAAAGTGATTATGAACTAGTAGACTATGTGTACAGTGTTGTAAAGGGATTACCTATATTTAACGAAGTCCCGTCAACAGCTTTGTACCACAAGAAGAGCAATGAAAAAGCCGACGAAAGCCGTAGGATTGGCAACGAACTATTTATTCGAAATTTTGACTTCGTAAACGCCGTAGAATATTACACGCAAGCTGTAGCAAATGCTGAACTTGGTAGTGAAAGTCTGAGTCTTGCTTATTCAAATAGATCTCATGTGCTATTGGATCAACGCTATTATAAGGAGTGTTTACAGGTTAGCGTTAAATAGGATCGTTTATTTTCTTTAGATTAAAAAATATCGACCGCTTTTATATTTGTCGAAATCAAACGATAAAAACTGTATTTTGGCATTTCGATTCGTTTAAGAAACGACATTTTTAATTTTTGGCCATTTTTTTGTATTGAATAACATTTTTATTAGTTTTTTTATTTTCGTATAGAAGTTTTTCATTCAACTTTTTGGGTAAAATCCAGTCGCAATTTTTTCTAGCGAAATGTTTATTCTACACTATGAATAAATTAGCCGATTATACTTTCACTGTTTAGCTAAAAACTTACTCAGTGCCTGCATGGTTCAATGTGACCTTTATTTGAAAGGATTTTTTTTAGATATGTATAATTTTTTAAACCACTTTAACCGAAAAATCCTAATTGTTAGACCATTAGCCCTGATTTCCAAATACACAGTATTGTAGTAAGTTTTATGAAACACATCATATTTATTCTTTAAAGATACTTAATGTAAATTAATGAAATTTTGGTTAAAGGATTAACTAAAGGTTTTTATTTAGATTTATAATAATATACAAAATTTCAGCCAGTGGCAGAAACACTGGCAGGCATTGAATATTTTGGAAAGTAGATCTGCATCTCCAATACCATTCGCTTTAAGTCCTTAAGGCTTTTTGCCTTAAAATGTTCCAAGGAATAACCGTTGAAATGTCAATTCGCATACAAAGCCGAGTCCTAGGCCACTAAAAACGAAGAAGACTACCAAAAATGAATAAGCCCCCCTCGTTACCTCCTAGCGTCATTTTACCACCCCCATACACCCCTTTATGTGGGTTGACACTTTTTTTGTGTGCCTGTGTTATGATTAAGAAACATTTGTATTTTTCTAGGCTTTCTGAGACATTTTATAATTATATGTTTATATCCTTGGCAAATAAGATAAACCTTTGAAAAGTGCCCCGTACTTACAGTTTTAAATTTATTAATTTTGGGAATCCCCTAAACTGAACTTTTGTGCCAGAGTTACACTTTTCTCTTTTCTTTGGAGACCTTACATGAAACGTATACAGAAACATAATGATTTTTTAGTATTTATTTCTCAAAAGATAGATATATGCAAATCTCAAACTTTGTTTTAAATACCCAATAATTTTATGTAAAAATTTTAAACTCAGTAAATGGTTATTTATTATTTCAGGATATAGACCGAGCTCTTAAATGTAACTATACAGAGAACTTGAAACAAAAATTGTTGCTCCGACAAGAAAGGGCAGAAGAACTGAAACGCTATCAAAAAAATGACTCCTACCACGATCCACTACCAGAAATAAAAAATAAAAATAAATTCATTGAGTCAAGTTCTAATTCCATAGCCATTCGTTTGGATGAAAATAGGGGTCCGCTTATAGTGGCTACAAAAGATATAAGAATTGGTGAAGTATTGGCCGTAGAAGCACCGTATGTTTCACAAACAGATATTATTAACAAATATTTGCATTGTCATGAATGTTTGGAACTTTGCTTTAACATGATAGCTTGTGACAATTGCACGGAAGCGTTATATTGTAGCGAAAACTGTAAAGAACAAGCTTATAAATCATACCATAAATATGAATGCATTTTAATACAGTATGGATTAAACAAAAAAACTATTTTCTTGAGACTTTCATTGAAGTCAGTGTTGGAATATGATCGATTGATAGAAGATTTGTCCAGAAATGATGACATTGTATATCAATCTAATCGCTACAAAGAAATTTACCAAATGGAAACTTATAAAAACTCCAAAGATCCCAAGGAGTTATATCAGAATGCTTTGGAGCCTGTGGTTTTTTATCACTATTTAACAACCTACACTGATATACTAAAAGAACTGAATGTTGAACATAAAGAACGAGTTTTGAAAGAGCTACTGTTGAAGAACTACTTTATAGTAGGGTACAATAATATATGCATTGAGAAATTGAAGCAAAGCTATATTTGCACCTCAGAATTTGAAGTAGTGGGCTCCGGAGTATATTCATTATATACTAAATTTCAGCACTCTTGCTTTTCCAATACCTTTCTTCTCTTCTATGGAAACAAAATAGTTGTTAAGGCTCTTACCAAGATCAGAAAGGGGGAACATGTGACCACTAGTTTTGGGTAAGTTAAAATTTATTTTTAATGTTAAAAGTAAGGTAAAATTTAATGGTAATAATTTTAACAGCAATAACAATAATTTTTACTATCAAAATTAATAAATACCAAGTCGTCTGAGAAAAAGCTTGACCCAGATTATTTGAGAACTACTATTTTCTATAAGAATTCTGAAACGGGTTATTACATATTGCCAAATATTTTGCATAAACAACATAGACAGGATAACAGCTACAGAAATCTTAAAACTATAAAGTTTTTTAAAATTTAACAAGTAAAAAGAAAATTTAAATTAAATTCTGCTGTGAATTAATATTACTATTTTTCAATTTGGTCAATGAAAAAAAAGTTCGGTAAGAACACCAGTAATAAACCTAAATTATGTACCAAAGGTTCTTCTATGGTAAAGTGTTGCAGATATTAATTTTTTTCTAAATTTAGGTCCCCATTTTGGGGGCTAATAACTCCGCAACTTTGTATATATGTAAGTTTGGTTAAATTACAATATTTTTGACACCCCTACATGCACCTGCTCTGTATTGGTTCTTATGCGGGATACCCTGTATATAAAAACATATTGAATTTGTATTTAGGAGATATAACCCTGGTAGCACAATCCTGTGCAATTCTAATACAAGTTGTTTCAAGTTTACTTGGAATAGCCAAATTGTGTCAGTTTTGTGTCTGTTGCTGAAATTTACATTGTTTTTTATGCAAGATACTTTTACAATACTTGTACCAGACTTAACCAAAAGTACTTGAGTCCAAAGAGGTGAATTAGTATAAGTCAGGTACAATATGTCTTACTTAATTCTAATGTAACTCTGCACCATAGTCACTTGCTTTAATTTACCCCTTTGTGCTCAAGTGCCCTGAATCAAATCCATTGAATGCTTTGATTAAGACAATTGCACAATGAATCTTGCAGTAAACCTGATGCTGATTTCAGCAGTAGGTACACAGCAGTCTTGTATAAGTGTCTTATTGTGCAAGATTTTGCTACCAGGGAAACCAACCTTTTGATTGCCTATTTAAAATTTTTAATTTTTCTCTGATTAAGTTCATTCAGACTGCATAATAGGGCATTATAAAGTAAACACTTGCTTGGAATATTGTCTAGAACAAGTTGAAAGCATTATAAAACACTTTTTATAGTAAGATATTTTTTGTTAATAGAGAAATTAAAGATTTGTTTAGTAAATTTAACAATAGACAACATACCCAAACACTGATTTGTGCAAAATATTGTGCAAGTGCAAGTTATCAAAGCAAATATATAACATGTAATCATCATATCATTGTAATTAGAAAAAAAGAGTGGAATTCAAAAACGATAAGTCTACAGTGTTCCATTAAAAAAGTTTGGTATATAGGGTGTTTCACATAAGAACCAACACAGAGCAGGGGCATGTACGAGAACCCAAAATATGGTGATTTAACGCAACTTACCTTTATACTAAACTACTAGTTACTATAGGCCTTAAAAGTGGGGTTTCAAATTTCGAAAAAAATAAATATCTCAATTATACTTAAACTTAGAAAAACAAAATTTGATACACTCACACGGTATAAGAGCGTTAATCTACAGTGGAGTTCAATTGAAGCATTTTAAAGGTTTAAAGTTTGATAAGGGATCATGCACCAATAAAAGAATTTTTTAATCTGTTGGAAGACTTAAAAAATTATTACTTTATTTTATTGGGAATTTAATTCTAAAACTTTTCTTACTATTGTTAGTTTTCAAAAAACTTTCTCGTTTTCAACAAAAATCGAATAACTAATAATACGTATTGTAGCTGTTATTTAAAAACATCGAAAATTCAAAACTTGGCTATCTTTCGAAAGGCAAAAAAGATAATAAAGATAAAATGTTACATGAATGAACCTGTACATAACTTAATAAATTTTTATTTTCTTCAGCATAACTTTCGCCAATAGTAAAAAATCTGATCGTCAGACTAGGCTGCAAAAATTTTACAATTACACCTGCCACTGTGAACCATGTTTAAATGATTGGCCCATGAGTGGTTTTCTAGAAAAAGGAGCTCCAATTCCAAAAAAATTTATGAAGAAAGTTACGAATTTGTTCGCTAGTAATAGATTAGATAGAAGCCGGGTAAAAAAGCTTTTGGTAGAAGCCTATGCATTGTATGAAAATCTAAAGATTACTGAAATACCTACTGAGAATTACATATTGCTTAGGTGTGTCATATGTGAGTTATTTCTATGTTTTGCCAATAAAATCATTGATTAAAATTTGCAAATCTTCGACTCCTTTGTCTAAAGTGGATTATAAGGATTCTTGAAATTAATACCTACTTCTCTTTTATGTCATAAAATGTGTGTAGATTCAATATAGAAATAATTTAAAATTATATTAAAATATTAAGATTAAATTTATTAGCTTTTAATTACTATACATTTATATACCAAGTTAATAATGTGATATTTGCTAACAATTAATTATTTCAAATATTACGGTTTTATTTATTTATTTTAATAATAATCACATAATTTTAAGAGCTGTCTGGATTTTAAAAATAAAACAAATGTAATGTTATAGGTATGTATAGACAACAGATGCACTTTTAGTATTTTTAACTTTATTTTAATAAATATAAATATATTATGTCTTAAATAAAATTTGAAACTAAAGTAAAAACTTAAAATATATTTTTATTATACCGTCTATCCAAAAGTCCCATCCCCAATACTTGCCTACTACCCTAACAACTATTAAACTACTAAATAGACTTTGAATAATAATAAGTACCGTGTAAAACTGTTACTCGGTGGTACATGCATACCTACCTAGGTATATCCGGTATACTTTCTAAAATAGGAAAGGACAGAATAATAGGTACTCACTTATTTATAAGATTCAAGATGTTCTTTTATCCTCTATATATAGTTTTTAAAATATTATTTAATTTTGAATGTTCGATTATTTTTTTTTTTTGTACAACTGAATTTAGAAATATTCTTTTAACTTTTCCATTAAAGAGACTGAAAAAACACAAATTTAGGAATGCATTGTTAAAAAATTACTTCACATTATAACATGGTAGATATAAATTTCCTCCTTATCTATTTCTAAAGATTTTGACATTTTAATAACTGATGGAAAACAACTACTCAATGGGCTATATTCCCCTGAATAGCATTAAATTATATAATTTAATGCTATTCATTACTGATATCAGTAATTTCTAATAAACAACTAGAATCATTTGTCAGCCAAACCCACCAGACACATACTGATTTCAGACTTATTAATTATCATCAGTATACCGTAGGTGAGAAAACTGATAAACCATTCAGCTATTTTTCATTTCCTAACCACAGACAAGGAGTGAATATACGTGAGATTTAGTGGAGTAGTAGATGAACGATCACTGCTAATAAATCAGACTAAGTTCTTCAATATGACTACACTAACATGCCCCGATCATCATTGATTTATAACGACAGTATCTAGTAAACAGTTAGGATTAATCGCATACTGATGAGATCTAATAAGTCCGAAACCAGTATGTCTCGTGGGTTTAAGATTTGGCTGACGAATGATCCTAGCTGATTAAAAGATATTATTGGCATAATTCAATGCTAGTTGGGGCATGTAGTAGTTGTTTCCCAAATATTCAATTATAAAAAACAATTCGTGTAATTGACATGCTTTCATAGTATCTATGAAATTGCAGTTCGCTCTGCCAGTGTGGTCCATTGAAGGCCTTCATGCATATGAGTAACTATTACTCTTATGCCTTCATGTAATACCATGTATAAACATTAGGTGGGATGATTTCGAGATATTCATGAATGCAAAATTCTTTATTACCTCTTTTTTGTCTGTTTCCAGTTCAGGAATATATATATATATATATATATATATATTTAATTTCATTGTATAAAATGGATCTTGAATCAAAATGCTTAATTATTTTTGAGACAACCTTTTCCTTATTTGTCTAACAATCTTGTTAAATTAAGTTAGGTTATGGCAGTTATTGGTCGTGGCCATTGACCTACTCTTGGAGATAGTCTCCCTGGACCTACTCACAGATTAGAAAGAGGATAGACCTACTAAACTGGTAATCTGTGTACTAAACCCACGGATTTCTTAAATTAAATTTAATTTAAGAAATCCGTGACTAAACCAGTTTATAAGGTCTATGACACAGAACATACCTAACCTAACGTCTATGATGGTCGTGGTCATGAGGGTGTTCTGTGGTTGTGGTCGAATGTAGTTAATTTGTGGTTATGAAATGGAAAAATGAAAATAGACTTATTACAATTGGCAGAAATTGTGAGTTTTAGATTTGTGAAATGAATTATTTAACTAGAATAACACGTACTTTCAGAATAAGTGGTGAGAATTATCCGTAGGTAAACATTTTTTTTTAATCGAAAATTTTGCAGGCACTAGTTCAAATATTTTACGTTATTTAACAAGTCAGAACGTTGCAAATACTCCTTTACCACGAGTATTATTAACACAGTCTCCATTTATAAAGAACCCGTGGATTTGGCAACAAAATGATGGTATTAAATTTCCTATTATACATAAAAACAAAATTGAATTACCAAATGGTGTTTTGTGGATACCAACATCAATAGAATCACCAGTCCTTGAAAAAACTATTGAGGCCCCATCTAAAGAAAATAGTAATGTAACAAAAGAAGCTGCAAGATTAATAGTCATAAGGAGAAAGAAAATGAAGAAACATAAGTTAAAAAAGCTACGAAAACGGATGAAATTTGAATGGGCAAAGGTAGGTAATTGTTATTACAGATTTCATTTATAAACTGTAGTTTTATGTTAGGTAGGTTTGTATAATTATTTTGTACTTGTTTAAAATTTACCATGATACTTTTTAGTTGAGGCAACGAAGAGAATTAAAAAAAGAAAAAGATTTTCAAGCAATCTTAATCCAGCAATGTAAAGAAGGTGAAGCTTTTTCAGCAGAACAATATGTTCAAGAACGAATCGACAAATTGAATGAAATTATAATACCGAGATATTGGAAAGGAAAGAGGTTACCGGAGTTTCTTGTGAGAGAAAAAATGGGCCTACCTCCAAAAAAGTAAATTATTGTTAGTAAGTTTTATAAATCCAAATGATAATAAATTATGAACCAAGTATATTATTTTGAAATCCTGTTAAAAGAGTCCTATAATGACTATTTAATAGGATATTTACCTATAGTTTTGAAATATTAAAATTATAGAGCTCAAAAATTCCATTCGCATTTGGATTTACTGATACCTACTTTCTATCAAATTTAGAAACCTACTTTGTTATGCTGAAATTTCTAGGAGGATATCCGAGAGCTTCTTATTTTTTGTTTATATGAACTTTGTGTTCAAATTTCTGATCCTAAACCCTTATTAATCATTAATTAATCAATAGTAATAAAATGTGAAAAGTATATTATTTCATCTTGTACAAGCCGTAAATGTCCGCATCAATGCTGGGTTATCTTTGATTAATTCAATTAGTGAATGAATCCGTTCTTCTGTAAATTCATTTGTTGTCTGCAGATGTTCCTTTGCATTCATGTCTCCCACAACTTTCAAGGCTTTTGGCAACTTTTGGGACTTACCCTTTGAAGGTGCTACTTTTTTCGTTTCTAAAATAAAAAATAGATAAAACATGCAGAATCATCAACAAAAAATTATAGATTTTGTTGTAGTTTTGTTTAAGATCCTAGGAAAGTAAAATATGTTTTATTGATTAATTGTTCATAAATTAACCCGTATAAAAAAAGATTGAGCATCATATTCCATGAATTTTTTTTGCATATTCTGATAGATTGCAATTATATAAAGTTTCACAAATGTGCACGATAGTAAGAAATATTCTTAATAGCTACTTTGATATATTTAACTACTAGGCCATGTTATGAGAATTCCAGCTCAAACAATGGAATTGTAAACTTGATGTTCCTATATCCGGTGTTTATGTATAGAAATACTCAAGAACTTGAAAACGAAACTAATCTTAACACACTTTTAATGGGTAATACCTCTTGAAAGTGTTGTTTTTTTTTATAGTAAAAAAATAATTGAATTACTTATTAAAATTATTCAGCTCTTTGCTTTTCAAACGTAAAAAAAAGTAAGAAGATACAGTCCGTACGATATTTGTTAAGATAGAATTCCAAGAAGACCCCTGTGCCACATTCTTGGTTATAACTGCATTCAACATCCGAGATTGAAAGACATGGGCGGTGTGGCGGTGACCATAAGGAGGTGAAACATAAAAGAAAGGAATTTAATTCCTAGTCGAAGAGTATCGTTTTTAACGCATATAATAAATAATGTGGGCTTAATTCAAAAACAACGTAGCAAAAAAAATGTTTTATTAGAAGCTGTGAAAACTCTGATAGAAGTTACTGTCAAGGACTGGATGAAATGTTGTCAACATGTTATTAAAGTTGGAGATAATTACTTGCAAAACGAATTCGAGTTGATGTGGTAGTAGAAGACAGTGTGTTTATAATAGTTTATAATATTTACCTTCTATATATATTTTAATATTCTAAAAATAACGTGAAAAATTTCAAGGTACGCCCCTACAGTAGTTCCGATAACAGAACTTTATTGGTTTATTTTTTTCTTGGGATTCTATCTACAAATATTGTACGGACTGTAATAATAGTCCTGATTTAGCACTTACTTGTTTTTTTAGGTTTTGGTTTCTCTTTGTACATGTCTGTTAAGTCAGTTGAGTAATCAGCACTTCCAGTATCATATATCATGGGTATCGCATTAATAGAAACACTTGCCTCCCTACTACTGTTTTCCAATTTTATGACTTCTATATGAGACATTTTTATCGATCTTTCGGCGGAATCTTTTCTTATATATCTGAAATCTTCAACCATTAAATCATCCAAGTATGCATCTTTTGACTGGGAACATTTGTCATTGCATTTGGTTTTGGCACAGCTTACACTTGATTTTTGCTTCGATGAATCTTTAGGAGAATATAATATGGGTGTGTCAACAATCTTTGTTCTAGATTCTCTGAGAAGCTCTAATGAATTTTTTGCTGTAACTAATTTAGAGGCCTTCCTCCTCATGTTACTTTTTGATTCTATACGTAATTCAATGGAATCATTAGGCGTGATATTAAATTCGGCGGACTTTTTCAGTAAAGATGCTTTTTTCATTATTACTGAATCTTTGGCATCCATCACTAGACCGTCCTTCACAGACTGTTTTGGGGAAGTTTTTTTACTTGACTGACAGCTTTCTGTAATTTTACAACTTAATTTTAGTCAATTAAATGGACCTTTAATTCACAATTTTGGTCAATTTGTCTAAATTTTTTATATAAGTTAGTTTGAGGAACACAGTATGAGCCGGTAGAATCACAGCAAAGTCCGGCAATGAATTTTACACATCAAAATAATAAGAAGAAAACTCAAATGTTATGCGATTTTCATTTGTTTTCAAGATATAGCGTAATTACAAATTTTAAAAGTTCAAATGTTCCAAGTTTAAAAATAGGATATTTGCAAGTATCATTTTAGGTTGCAATAGTTTAACATTTGACTACACATTTGTACAATCAAAATGCCAATGCCAATGGTATATTTGTTTATGGTTTTTGTAATGGGATTGCTAATGCTGGTGACGAATGTCTTCAACACATCACAGATGTCCTGATATAAATGTATTTATCAAAGTTTTCAACAAACTGTGCGAAACCAGGAAGCTTTCCAGTACTAATATAACATTTGAACAAGCACATCGACAAGTTTTAGAAGAAGTAGAAAATATTCTTGCTACTCAATTGGGCATCCCACAAAAAAGTGTAATAAAAATCCTCACAAGCATGTACAGAGAATGCAACAGCTACAACCAGAAGATTATGCATATCGAGTTTTGTCAATGGATCGATAATAATCATTTTGTTGTATGCTGCATTCTTTTTAAGGATGAAGCAACATTATTTGTGTTTTTGAATATTTCATAAAAAAACGCTACGATTAATAGAATATTAATAAATTAATATTTTTCTTATTGAAATGTTCGTCATAGCTTTGAAACAATTGAAAATCACATAACATTTGAGCTTTTTTGACATGTAGATTCCCGGAGTTTGGTGCTATTCGCCTTACTCACCCTGTATAATAACAATAAAGGTCACTATTTTTTTTCAACCCACGGCCATGGGTGAAAAAATAAAATAAAGTAAAATATGGTTCACTCGTGCTTATTTTATGAAAAACAAAACGAATAAAAATAACATTACATTTCAGAGTTATAGATGCCAACTATATTTTTTTCCTCTTTTTTTATGTGACACACTGTATTTTCCATATTCTGTTAGATCGTTTTTTCTGAATTATCCTAGTAATATTTTTGGGGGGTCTGTGTCCAGTTAGTACAGGTGATATACATAACATTAAGATCTATAATAATAATACAAAACCAAGTGGTTCAATTAGTCTCTAATTGTAATAATTTCAACGACTACAAGATTAAATAAATGCATTGTAAAACGTGATTTTAAATAATTTTAATTATGTTTTGATCTCATCTATCTGTACTCGACTTTTTTGTATCAAATGCCGGGACACCCTGTATATAAGTGTACATAGTTTTGTTTCAAAATACATACTTGCATGTCAGACAAAGATCATTAAACATGTATTGTGAAAAGAAATATGTTAAAAGATTTCTTTCAAAAATATTTTTGTTGCATTTTTATTTAGTTGATTGTTATTTGCCTTCAAATTTTGTTTTACTTAAAAAAATAGTAACGGGGTGTAGTGAAAGACTTAGTTTCCACAGACGACTTGAATTTTGTTTATTAGTATCTTTTTTTTGTTCTGTATTTTAACTACAGGATGATACCCATTTTATGTATTTTTTACATGCATATCAGTTTGTTTTATTCTAAGAAAAAAGTTAATATAATACAGCTAAGATATTTAATGCAGATTGATGAAACTTGAAGAGTTCTACAAACTACAGTTATATGAATTTTTATATTTTTTTCCTTAGCATAAGGACTTCTGTTAACTTAATATTACAAAAACTTAACTCACTATTTATATTTCTAAAATGTGATGCTCAAATCTTTTTTATAAAAAAAAATTCCATATTTTACCATATTTCACTTTTCCAATATTTTTAAAGAAAACAAATAGTCGAATCTAACATTTTCATGTGATAACCTACTACAATTATTTCTCATTTTACTTAATTTTTATTTAATGTAGAAAACCCTATAAATTAAATTACTGTTTCTTAATGAAATATAAAAATATTCCAAAGTAATATACTCTGCCAAATATGAAGTCACTGAATATTCAAATTATTGTCAAAACTAACTAAACTTTAGAATGCCACTAGAGTAGTACTGAGAAAGAATGTGAAATAATTTGGACAAAGAAGAAGGGCCCCTAAGGCCGGTTTTTGGCCTAATTTATTTTGGCTGAAAAAATTTGAAAAAAAATCTGATCGTTTCCAGCCTAAACGGACCAACCCCCTCACCCTCCTTTCCCCCTCCACCCCCTTATATGCCGGGGAAACCATCGCTTATTAGAGGAATCTTTAAAGAGCTTAGAGATGCGAAAGACATTCAGTTCCTATGAATCTTACATACGAAGAGTTTTTTCAGTCGCTGATCACGAATCTGATCTCAGAATCACGAAATTCAAAATGGCGGATTCAATATGCCGGACAAAAAAATTAAAATGTCTTTAAAATGCATGAATTTTTGTGTAGTGGGTTTTTTTGGATCTCTGATTACGAATCTGAAGGCAGAATTGCGAAATTCAAAATGACGTATTCCATATGGCGGACAAAAAAATTAAAAAGATCCTCATAATTCTCAAATATTTGTTTATAGAAACTTTCTTGGATCACTGATTACAATTATGAATTCAGAACCACGAAATTCAAAGTGGCCAATCAAATATGCAGAAACATGTATGTGTAATAATTATTAATTTTTTTCTTTTTCCATTTATTCAATGTAAATGTGTGTCATCTCATTTAAGGGGGTGGAGGGGGAAAGCAGGGTGAAGGGGGTTGGTCCGTTTAGGGTGGAAATGATTCAGTACGGCTAGTAAATACTAAAAAAAAAATTTTTCAGGTTTTTTCAGTTAAAAATAAATTAGACCAAAAACCGGCCTTAGGGGCCCTCCCCCTTTATTTATTTTTTAAAATGAAGTGCTTGTTTTATTGTACCTCCCATTTCTCTAATGGATGGAGCGTCATCAACAGAAGCTTTTCTCTTTAAAATGCTGAAAGATCCTTGAGTCTCTCTAACTAATGTGTGCAATTTTTCGTCATGTTCATCTACTTCAAGCTCTTCTAATTCGACTTCATCTTTAGGTTTCAAATATCTGACAGACCCCCTTTTTAGAATTAGTTCCAAAGAATTTGTGGCAGCTATCAAAGCAGGTTTCTTTTCAACTGTGCCAATTTGTGCAAAATTTATGTTATGCAGAGAATTGAAAACTGGTTTTAGAGATGCTCTCCTTTCTTCTGACAGTTTTCTAGAAGAGTCGTGACTCCATGTGGTAGTTTTTGGCGTGGATTCACGGATCATAAATTGAACACTGGAAGCCTCAATACTTCTAGGAGGCGCAGTCTGTTCTGACTTTACACTAGATCTGAAATATCACTAAAGGCATTTATTCGGTTATACAGGGTGTTCCGAATTCCACACTCCAAACTTTACCTGATGTAGAGCACCTCAAAATAAGAAAGAAAGTCAAGTCCAAAAATATCCTTAGTATAGGAATTTTAAATTTCTTGAAATATTATAAACCCTAAAGAATTGAAAATTGTTATGCTATTAATTTTTTTAGCTTTCAATGGTTACATTGTACTTAAAAAAAACACCTACATTTTTTTTGTGAAACAAATAGCTTTGGAGTACAATTTGTAAAAGTATGTTGAAGGCTTATTTTCAATTTAGAAAAATATTTACTCAAAAATGGCTCGTTATTTCAAATAAAATAGCATTTTTTTTCTTAGCAACTCCAACCAGAATAATAAAAGATAATTAATAACTGATTTCTTTTTTAAATTTTGACAATCTGTATCTTGAAAACGAATCGAAGGTCGTACAACCTATGTTTATACGAACTTTTTTTCTTATTTTGAAGTGTTCTATCACAAGGGAAAGTTTGACATATGCTATGCGGGACACCGTATGTGTAACAGGGTGTTTCCGAAATAAGTGCCTAAATTTTAACCATGTATTTAACTCGTGCCTCAGTGGAGAGTAATAAAAATTTAAAATTTACATTTTATTTGTAATAAAAAACTAAGAAATTATTTATAAAATATACAAAACTTACTTTTGATCACTTAAATGCAGGGTTAATATTTTGGCACTTATTACTGGGACTCTCTGTTATCTTATAGACCAAGGGTCGGCAACTGGCGGACCGCGGTCCAGGTCCAGACCGTGGAAGGTAAAATACTGGACCGCCAAAAATTTTTTGAAAGTATAAATTACTCAAATATATGATTTAAAAAATGTTTTTTACGTTTAAGTGCCAATCTTATAATTTTTTTTAGTATTTTACAATTGTGCGAGTGTTTTGAGTTCTTAATTAGTAAGCAGATTAAATTTGAGTCCAAATTAAAATTAAAAAAAATAAGAAATATGAATTTTTTTCTGGACCTCGTTAAAAATTTTCAAAAGTATCCGGACAGCACCTAAAATTACTTGCCGACCCCTGTTATAGACCTTTAATATGTAAAGATTTACTGGAGAAATATCAGCTTTGGTTCAACGAGAGACAACTTAAAACACATTTTCCTATTCTATTCTTTCAATATCAGTAAATTATTCAGCAAAATTTTGCTGAGTCTGGCAAATATTACATGCTCTTATTTAAATACACATTAATTGATAAACATACATTGTTATATAAAACTGTCGCGTGGATATTGAAGAAATTATGATTTAAAATATTATTCATAAGTATATTTATGTCAAGTAGGCTTTTTAAAAAGAGTAGGAGGGTTGATGAAAAATTGTGTTCCAATTGTCGCATCCTTGATGCCACCAAATTTTGTATCTTTTTTTCTTCTGTGGGGATGAGAATAAGAAATTTGTTTTTTTGTATAAAATTGATATAAAATTACAAATATAGCATTGCCGGGTCCCTAGAGATTTATTTTAGCAAAACATATAAAAAAATAGTTCACACAATCAGTAGCAGTAGATTATAAAGAATAAAAGAGATATGTGTATACATAAATTTAATACCTAGTGCTTTTTCCCATTACATTTTGAAATTTTGACATTGACATTGACAAATTGATTAATAAAAAATTATCACATTTAATGTACCAACAAATATTAAATGAAACTAGAATTTCCCTTTGTGCATGTAGTCCTGTAGCCAGGGGGGTCCCAATTGACTCCTTTATTTAGATGGAGTTACCCAAGTGTTTTTTGTGTATTTTGAGCTGTAGAACACGAATTTTTTGGGTAGAAGTTTGCCCGGATGTCGATAAGTTTTTTATTAACAAAAAACTTGCAAAATACTGAGAACTTAGTTTTTGGCAAAATAAAAAGTATTTTGTTGTTCTTTGACCCATTTTAAAAAGAAAATGTATCTTGCAATTTTTTTGTTAAACGCATAGTTTTCGAGATAAACGCCGTTAAAAACTCGAAAATTGCAATTTATGCGATTTTCAATTATTAATAACTTTTGATTGAATAGATATTTTGTAATTCTGATGACGGCGTTTGAATGTTCACGTTAAATACAACAAATTATGAGTAATTGCAGTGTGAAAATTTGTTTTTTCCACTGTTATTTGAAGCTATAAACAAATAGCGATTGAGCGTTCAGAAGGGTGCGCTGCCATGTATGTAAGAGAGTGGTTGCCTTCTTACAGGCATTTAATACATGATCTTGACGCGTACTCTTCATTTCTAAATCAAAGAAACGATGAAAACTGAATGAAACATTAACAATTTAATGAAAATTGCAATATTACAATAATTAAAATTAAAATTTTTTTGACAAATAATGCAAAGATCTGATTTAATTAAGCTATTCATCTTGTAACATGAACGTTAATAATTCTACATCTTCAGTGCAATTTTGAAGCGCGACTACAAAATTTTTAAAAATAAATGAATCGTTTAAAACAAAATGCATTAAAAAGGCGAGAAAAATTTGAAATATCAAAGATATAATGTTTGCATGGTTAATTTCTAATTTGCTTTGTAAACATTATTATACGATTTATATGAAAAAAATTAGCGAAATTATATTAGTTTTATTTATAAATGATAATAAAAAAGTTTATACTTATATTAAAAGCGCAAAATAGCAATTTTCATTGAATTGTTAATGTTTCGTTGTTTTCATCGTTTCTTTGGTCTAGAAATGAAGAGTACGTGTCAAGATCGTGTATTAAACGCCTCCTGTAAGAAGGCAACCGCTCTCTTACATACATGGCGGCGCACTCTTCTGCACCCTTCTGAACGCTCAATCGCTATTTGTTTATAGCTTCAAATAACAGTGGAAAAAACAAATTTTGCAATTACTCATAATTTGTTGTATTTAACATGAACTTTCAAACGCCGTCATCAGAATTACAAAATACCTATTCAATCAAAAGTTATTAACAATTGAAAATCGCAAAAATTGCTTTTTTCGAGTTTTTAACGGCGTTTATCTCGAAAACTATGCGTTTAACAAAAAAATTGCAAGAGATATTTTCTTTTTAAAATGGGTCAAAGAACAAGAAGATACTTTTTATTTTGCCAAAAACTAAGTTTTCAGTATTTTGCAAGTTTTTTGTTAATAAAAAACTTATCGACATCTGGGCAAACTTCTAGCCAAAAAATTCATGTTCTGCAACTCAAAATACACAAAAAATACTTGGGTAACTCCATCTAAATGAAGGAGGCAATTAGGACCCCCTGGCTACAGGACGAATGGGGTAAAAATTACTTCAAAATCCTGTATCCTTTGTACAGGGTGTTGCAAAAAAGTAAAACAAGTCATTAACCACAGATTCCTGTGTACCACAGTTTACTATCAACTCTAATCAATTCCAAAACCCTTTTCACCTTCCCTTCAGTTTATACATACAAGAAAAGAATATAAACATCAATTAAATGTACAAAATACAAAGACACACACATTTTTCATGTAATCCTCTAGTTTCAGCCTGGTCCTTAAGATGTCTAAATAGACCTAACAAACCGATCAATAATATTCCTAACACATTAAATCACTATATAAGAAAACCCACAAAATTGACGAACAAATTACAAAAACTCAAAAATAATAATAAATTTCTATTTTATTTTCAATACATACATTACCAAACTGTATAAAGAAAAACACCAACAAAGAACTGCTTCTAAATAAACTTAGAACAAGATGTGTCACCTTTCAAAAGCAGCAAATTATATATTCTTATGTTTGATCTAGATCAGCCATAAACAGTGTCACCTACTGAACCTATACAAAACATTCTTCATGCAAATATTAATAGTTACTTCTTAAAAAGATACTTATTGTACTATGCCTTCATTAAAAGTAAAACCAATAGTGCACTTTAAGTTGAAACTAAAACAAGAAAGAAAATAGAACAAAATTTCGTGATCGGGACGAATTAAGATTTAAGAGGAGGTAGATTAGTGCAAGTGTATTCTCATTTAAAAATACTCCAAGAATAATCAACCCTCTAAATTACACATATTTTTGACATATCTCTACGCATCATGTCGTATTGAAGAAACTTTTTACAAAAGCCGCTTGGGCGCGTCATCATGAAAAAAAAACACATTTTGTGATGAAGATAATGTGACAAAGTTTGATTAAAAAATTATGTTACTCCAATATTTAAAGATTTTTTAGGAACTTTAAAGCCATCTAGCAGCCAAACAAACATTTTCTGATAAAGATGAATTAGCCTAAGTTTAAACATACTTATGGGACACCTTATTGTATGTTACATCAACTTAAATCACATTACATCACACATTAAATCTTGAAAAAGAGAATACTAAATAAAAAATGGCATAAATGTCTTGATCTACTTTACTACTTATCCTCTGTATAAACTTTTCTTCCTCAAAAAGATATTTTATCGAATCTTAAAATCTGTTACAAAGAGGTAACTCACTGGGTACAAAAGTGTAGTTAGTTTTGAAATACGTCAGATCATTACTTAAGATATCAACTTGTATTAATTAAATTATTAAATAACAAAACAGTATAGGCATATTGCAAATTGTAAATTTCATACTGTAGCAAAAAACTTGCCAAGTGGGTTTGTTGGGACGTGGTGTCCCCTTGTCGTCAAATATACCCGGAAAGGAGAAGAAAAATGACAGCAACAGCAAGCTAGCCACATGTTGAATCTAGAAGTAGCCCAATTCATGATAAAATGTCAAGGACAAAGTAATAAGTTGTATACCCAGATATTAGGTTTCTTATGTAATATTCTCACTACACAAATATTTCTAGTAGGATGCACCAAACCCTTCGAACTTGGCCACAAAGAAGAGGAATCTGAATATCAACATGACTGATAATTTTTTTGATATTGTTCCTAAGAATTATATACATATAAAACCAATTTGAATTCAATTTACTGTTCAAGGCATCTACCGGTAGAGATGTGCAATTAAAGAAGCAAGGAAACTTCCAATTTAGCCCTGTTTATGGGGACGCATTAAGAGTTACATACTCATCAGGCATGATAATGATATATTTTTTATTGATAAATATTTATGAAATGTTACATGGGATCCGTTTCGTCGTATTTAAATTAGGTAGTCTAGTCCAGAGGTTTTCAAAGGGAGGGGCGCGCCCCTCTAGGGAGTAGCGACAACATGTAAAGGGGGGCGCGAGTGTGGATACCCGCCAGCATTGCACCACCTGCACCGCCCACACGTGAAACCGATATTAATATCGAAATATGCAACTACTTGCAGCAACTTACAGATGAATTCAAGCGGTACTTCTCCAACTCGTGTGATAACAATATTTATCGATTGGCGATGGATCCATTTCACGTTGACATAGATGTGCTACCAGAAACATTACAAAAGCAAGCTTTGGACATCAAAAATTATTCTGCTACCAAATATGATTTTGAGAAGATGGATAAGCCATTGTTTTGGGTAAAATATGTTAAAGTTTATCCCAGTATAGCAGAAGAAACACTGAAACTCTTTTTAACATTTTCAAGTACTTATTTGTGCGAAAGGGCATTTTCGGCAGTTGTAGCTATCAAAACGAAGTACAGAAGCACACTCGATACTGCTAGTGATCTACACGTCATGCACTTTCTTCTATTCAACCCAGAATTAAGAATCTTGTCAAAAACATGCAAGCTCATCCGTCGCACTGACTTTGTCTTTCTTTTATTTATCTGTGAAATTAATATTTTTGTGAAATAAAATAATTGAAGGTTAATTTTTCAACTTACCATGGGCTATTGATTATGTACTTTAGATAGGAACTACAACGTAACAGAAATTTTGTTGTTTGATATGTTCAATTGACCCTAAAAAATGATAAAACCGCGGAGTGCTACCTTTTAAAGGGGTGCGTTTTTGAGAATGAAGTAAAAAGGTGTTATTTTCAGTTTTTTGAGTTTTACTTGAAAACTATGCATTTTTTCTATATAGTTATCAGCAGAAAAGTTGTAGCAAATTGAATTTCCAATCGAAATGAGACCTTTCGAAGTCAAAAAAAATATATTTTTAACAAAAATATGCCCAAAAAACGAGTAAATTTTTTCTCTTTTTGGTTTTTGGCCCACAACTTTTTTCTGAGAGGAGTTAGGTATAGGCATTGCTTCACAGAAAAAAAGTTAATGTATTTCCTTTAAAATAAGCCTTTACAGAAGTACCTACGACTAATAGAAACCGAGATACATCGGATCAAAATTGGCTACTTTTTGGATTTTTGGCCAATTTTTGCCGTTTTTGACGATTTTCGTCTTATAACTTTAGTTAATTTAGGTATATGTAATGCCATATTCAAATGAAAGCTGGTTTCAACACCTTTAAAATGGTGCTTGGTAGAAGTTTATACAATTAAAATCAATCGAGATATGTCAATTTAACCAACGATACTTTTTTTTATTTTTATACATTTTTTATTACTTTCGGTATTATTTTGTCTAATAAAATTTTTGTGAATGTGAAAGTTAAATTAAGTTTCTAGGTGATTGGATATTATTATTTATTTATTTAAACAACAGTTAATCATATATATCTTATAAATTTTCAGTTTCATTTAGTATATTTTCAATATTAATATCAATTTCGCCGTCATCATTTTCATCAATGTCCTCTTCAGAAAAATCAGGCTCATATGCATTTTCACAATTTATTCCCATACATTCTTTAATACATTTACAGGCTATTTTTTCAAGTAAATTTTCAGGTGCAGGAGATTTATTATTAAAAATGGGAACTAGCCCATTTATGGAATTTTTACAATCCTAATCAAGGGGATTTAAAGTACAACAATTCCACTGTTGCATCTGAAAATAACACATCGTTCAATAAGTCCCGGGACTAACTATGAAAACAACATTTTATCCGCAAAATTCTTTATTATTCATCAACATAATCTCCTTCAAGTGTAATACAATTGACTCAAAATGAGCCTCAGTAGCAGCGATCACCTCCGCATTCGAGCCAAATCTTTTTCCCTGGAGCATCTTTTTGAGATCCACAAAGAGCCAGTAGTCGCTGGGGGCCAGATCCGGCGAGTACGGAGGATGGGGAAGCAGTTGGAAGCCCAATTCGTTGAATTTGGTCATCGTTTTGATTGACTTGTGGCACGGTGCGTTGTCTTGATGAAAGATGACTTTCTTCTTCTTCATGTGTGGGCGTTTTTTCACGATTGCAAAGGTAGCGTCACTTTAACCACTATAGCTTTCTTGGTTATGTTTCGAATTACATCAAATTTTGATACATCTCATCTAAAGGTTGGTACTTCTGAACCTTGGTATATACATGGCATTATTAGCGCCATCTCTACGCTAGTCCTGGGACTTATTGAATGATGTGTTATACTCTGAACCTATGATGTTTGAGAGCATCAGTTGTTGAAGGCAATCGAGATAAGGTAAATTTTGCACTTGTTGAATACTTTTGAAATAATTTATATCGACAAGTTTTCAGGCTGTCAATTTTTGAACTATACATTATAGTCATAATGCATTCAGATGCAGCAGTGACATCCTCAACACTAGCATTTTAAAGTAAAAATACATCGAGGCAATTTTTTAATTTTGGAAAATTCTTATTTACAAAATTGAAAAATTTTTTTGTAATTGTAATTTTTTAATTAAAAGTACAAAAATAATTAAAAGAATTCGAAATTTTACATGATAAATATGATTAATTGTTGTTTAAATAAATTAATAATAATATTCAATCACATAGAAACTTATTTTAACTTTCACATTCATAAAAATAAATTTATTAGACAAAATAATACCGAAAGTAATTAAAATTTTATAAAAAGAAAAAGTATCATTGATTAAATTGACATATCTAAGTTGATTTTAATTGTACAAACTTCTACCAGGCACCATTTTAAAGGTCTTGATACCAGCTTTCATTTGAATATACATTACATATACCTAAATTAACTCAGAAAAAAGTTATAAGACGAAAATCGTCAAAAAAGGGCAAAAATTGGCCAACAATTCAAAAAGTAGCCAATTTTGATCCAATGTATCTCGGTTTCTATTAGTCGTAGGTACTTCTATAAAGGCTTATTTTAAAGGAAAAAACATAAATTTTTTTTCTGTGAAGCAATGCCTATACCTAACTCCTCTCAGAAAAAAGTTGTGGGCCAAAAACCAAAAAGAAAAAAAAAACGCATTTTTTTACTCGTTTTTTGGGCATATTTTTGTTAAAAATAAATTTTTTGACTTCAAAAGATCTCACTTCGACTGGAAATTCAATTTGCTACAACTTTTCTACTGACAACTATATTGAAAAAATGCATCGTTTTTGAGTAAAACTCAAAAAACTGAAACTACAACCTTTTTACTTCGTTCTCAAAAATGCACCCCTTTAAAAGGTAGCACTCCGCAGTTTTACCATTTTTTAGGGTCAATTGAACATATCAAACAATAAAATTTCTGTTACGTTGTAGTTCCTTTGTACCCTCTTTTTTTGACACAGTCAATAGCCTACTACCCTTGTTGTGTTTTTAAATTGCATTGCAAGCCCACTAGCTTTCTTTTGCTTACGACGAACATTTTCATTTTAGGCAGTAGGGAGGCGTGACAAACAAAGTTTGGGAATCCCTGGCCTAGTCAATTGGAAAAGATTACATATATCAAAGGCGAATGACCCTCAAGAAACTAGTATAGAGTTATGGGGGTTAAATACATACTTATCTTAATAGGTGGTTAATAGTTTACCCTCGGGTACAGAAAAACCAAAGCTCATGCAATGTGTAACAAACAATACTACACCACAACATAAACATAAAGTTGTTGCTCAATAACTTACTTCTTTGACATGGATCTTTCGGACTCTTCTTTCAAATTGCTCACAGATTTTCTCAATGTTTGAATCAATATTTCAACATCCTTACTCCACAACTCATTACTTTTCGTTATCTCAATTCCTTGGGATATCATATTGCGAAAGTCCTCCCGCACATATAATTTATTTTTGTAATTGAATGCAGGAAGATAATCCTCTTCTCCTAAACCCTCTTCTGAATGAAGAAGAGTTAATTCCTTAAGACAGTTATGATAGTCCTCGATCTCTAATCCTACAACGTTAGGGGTGTTTATTGGCTTTTCTTGATCTTTCCAAGGAAGAATTTCACTGCAGGGCCTCAATCGTGAATAGTTGGATTTTAAGACTGTCTTTGTTAATTCAAAAGCCATCATTTTTTCAATGGACAACAAAAATTCTGCTTGCGTAGGAGCTGCGCGCAAGGCAAAATTAATGAACTTTTGAAATTGTCTTATAATTTCCAATAAACAAGTCTCTCTCAAGTTGACTTCCATTATTTGTTTATTCGTTTCTTCTGTAAGTGTTTTTATCCGATGATCTTTGTCAGATATTAACTTATTTAATTTTTTAATTTCTTTCACGTAATATTGTTCGACTTTTTCCTTTTCAGTGCAACATTTCCTTCGTTCCATACATAATACATACATCATATTGGCAATATTTTTACATTCCAAATTATGTCTTAACTGTTTTATACTTTCTTTACACTTGGTTTTTTCCATGTTAATATCATAACCTTTCTGTAGATATGCTTTTCTAAAAATAATAGTAACAAATATTAATAGATTAAACTTTTTTTATCTGGACGACAAATATAATTTAAATGTTACTTAATCTTTAAAAGAATTTTAAATAATCTTACTGTAAGTCTAATTTAAAATTATTTATCATCACAGATTTTTGTCTATCTAGTTCATCTAAAAACTTTACAGTCATTTTTTGCACTGTAGTATTAGTCGCTTCTTTAAATTTCAGTTCCCATTCAGTATTTATTGATATTCTCTGATTTCTCAGAGATGCCTCTCGTTCCCTTTTTAATTTCTTTTCTAAGTTATTCAATTCTTCAAGTAATATTTCATTGAACTCTTCAAGCATCTTCTGAATTTGATTCTGATAAGATAAACGTTCTCGTGTTTCAATATTTTTTGTCTCAATTCTGAAAATCTCTTCAAATTGGTCCACTATATGTCTTTTTCTAAGTTCAAAATAGTTTTCTTCGCGCATTTTAGTTTCATTCCAAAATTTTTTTTCTATTTCTTCACCAATCTCTTAAAAAATATTAATTAGAGCTATATTTTTTATTTTTTGGTCACAAAAGGCTGGTTTTCATTTAGGGTGTGTTCCGAGCATGTTCCTTTCATGTTGTGTTGTCTAGAATCTTAAACTTATGTTTTCCGTGTTATTATATGGAAAAATATAAGTTTGAGATAATTAGACGACACAAAACGAACGGAACATGATCAGACAGGACCCCAAATGAAAACCAGCCTTAATAGAACCATTAAATTATATATTTTTTATTTTTATCTTTAAAAAAAAGTAACATGTGAAACACATTAGAAATCTCCCTCATCTATCCCATAATTTTTAACTTAACGCTCTTTTTATATGACAAAAAAATTAAAAAATAATATTGGTTTGTTTTTGAGAGAAAGAAAAAAGAAAAATTTGAGCATGCTACTGCTTCTTTGTAAGTTTGATTATTTTTTATTGAGTAATTAAAAGTACAATTGTTTTGTCTGTTGCATTGTTTGTCTATCTTGCTTCCTTTTCAAAAAAAAAATACTAAAGTTCGTTTCTTCACTCGCCCCTGGCAAAATTAATTTAATTTTCTTAATAAAATGAAATTTTTTTTTTTTTCTAATAAGCTTTATAACCTTTTAAAATAGACAAATATGCAAGAGACAAAAAATTGCATTTTTAATTACATGTTAAAAATAATATCAAATTAATAATAAAGCAGTGGCATGCTCCAATTTTTCTTTAAAATATTATGATGTCCCAGCGCTGCCCCTGTTAAAACTAAGTTACGTCAAATTAAGCCCCTTACTTATTACTAACAATGTGCACAGTTTTATCAAATTTGGCTAAATATGTTAGAGATATTTGAGAAAAAATGTTTTTTTTATAAATGTTAAAGTTTAACTTTAACACCCTATATCTCGAAACCGAAGCTTTGAAACACAAGTTCATATGAATTTTTCTTTTCATTTTTGTGTGTTCTATCAACTATTAAACTTTCCAGATTAAAATCTGAGATACCCTTTATATAAAATAAAATTCATATGAATATATTTTCTAAATTTGGTAGAATCTTCTATTAATACCTTAGATACAGAGTGTTGCAATATTCCACTGACAAAATTGTACAGATCATTCTCTGACTAAAAAGAAAAAAATTGTTTATATTTAGGTTTGCAAACGCTTAGTTTTTCAGATATAAATTAATGGTGTTTTATTTATTTCATTTATTTTTAGTTATTTTCATTTGTTTTATATGTTTGTGGGAAGATCAATTGGTGTCTAGTAGGCTTGTAATGAATATTCTTCGACTATTGATTATTTTGCGTAGTAAACCATTATCTTGGTGTTTAACCGAATGCTACATATTTTAAGGCAATTAATTTTAGATTAAAATTAAAACCAATTGCAAATTGTTTAATTATATTTCAAAAATGTTATGTAAAAAAATACACCACCAATTAAGATTTTCATCGTAAATTAATTATATCCGCAGCAAAATAAAACACTATAGGGGTTTTCGAAAATTACTCGTAGTGATCGAAACTTAGCATTCTCTCTCTCTAAAACCATAAAAATAATAAGGACAAAGCTAACAATCTGAGAACCAGAGTGGTTTTTGTAAACCTCTAATGATACTATTTGTTTACTTTGTCATACATTTAAAAAAAATTAATATAAGACATATACCACTGAGCATACTGTCAATTTCGCACTTCTTGCATCTAGCATCCATTACACTATTTTATAGTTAAGCAGCTTAGTTGTACAGTTAAGTTATACTACAAATATAGTCGATTTAAAATAATAATGCCTCATCTAAGTTACCCAGTCGTGGAAAATCAGTCAAATATTCAGTATTTGCCAACTACCAAATATGCTATTCGTTACAAGCCTGATATCTGCCAATGGTTATATTTGCTAACCCCTAAAATTATAGACTTGAATCATATTTGTTCTGTCATAACAACAGTTTTATTTAAAACTAGTCAGTAGGCCACAGAAAAACATGCTTTAAGTTACATTTGGATGAATACCATCCATACAATTAAGATACAAAGACATTTATGATATCAGAAAGTTACAAACGTAGGAATTGCCTTTTCTCAAAAAAAAAAAGATATAATCAGTACTATCCCAATAAAAAAAATTGAAGAAACTAGATGGTTTGAAGTTCCAAACAGGATCACCTTGTAGATTGTGGATGGAACATATTACTGATCTTCAAGAAAGTTTTCATGTTTTTAAAATTTGATAAAAAATTTGAAATAAATAAAAATAAAAAATAATAATGAACCACTCTGTAAAAACGAAGTGCTTGTAAACCTCGTATGAACTTTTTGAAAATTAAAAACATACTGAGAATTCCTTGATGAGTAAGTGCTTGTATATGCTTTCCTGTGAATGGTGGCGTCAGTGCTAACTTCCCAATTAAAAGATCGCTTGGGGAAAGCCATAACTCGTCACCAGTTCCTTTCAAAGGAGTTAGACCGAAATCTTCCTTCAATGCAGCATCACATTGATCGAAGAGTATTTGTGCCAAACACGACCCTAAATTGCTTTTTGCTTCAGAGAGGGTAGGTATTTGAAGAGATTTCATTAAACATAATCTCTGTTTTACATAATCACTTCTGTCCAATTCAATCTTGATATCTGGAAAAATTGTTGTCTTCATGTACGTATTTGCATTATAAATTCCTTACTCATTGTTAACATAAATAGAAAATTTATAAATTAAATAAAAATTTTAAATTAATGTCAAAAATAAGACAGCAATTTTGTTTAACTATTGAAATTCAAATATATCTGAATATTTAATTGCAGGGTGTTTTATTGGTTGCCTAATAATAAAATTTTACCGATTCTGTCCAAGGTTCCCAAAGTATAAGGTTGCTAACAAACACAGTATACTAATCAATCAGTAGGGAATCTTAAATGATTTATGAATGAATTCCGTATGGCAATTTTTAAATACCCCCACCCTAGGAAAAGTCGCTGAGAATATGGCGGATTCTTCGAGCATCTACTACTGGAGGCATGCCATTGCGAAAATTGTGGCTGAGTGTGCGAGAGAAACAGACAGTACCTCAGTGCATGCTGTCTCACTCTACCACGTCACGATTGGTTGGAAATTAATGCTCCAACCAATCGCGGCGTGATAGAGTGAGACAGCATGTATGAGATACTGTCTGTCTCTCAGCCACACTTTTCGCAATGGCATGCTACCTCTAGTAGTATAGTAAACATAACCTGTTCTTTTTCCTGGTTTTAATACTTTTAATTATTATACATTAATTTCTGATTAATTATTATAATCCGTGGTAATAAAGAGATTGTTAGCTATGTAGTAGTGTTACACGTAAATTGAGTTTTTTTTTTATTAAGAGAAGTTTACATTTTTTGGTTAAATACAGGTTTAGTTATTTGAATTCCAGGAGAAATAATTTAGATTAGATTATATCGGTCTGAATCTTATAAATTTTGTTCAAAAACTTACGAAAGCGTATTTATTTTCTAAACATATTTTAAAATGTAAGTTTACTATACTTTTTATTTCATTATTTCATTATTAACTATTTACTGGGTATACTATTACTTATAAATAAATAATCACTAATAAAATACACAAGAACTAGATAACTAAACTGAACAACTACTCAACATCATAAAATAAGGTTTTTAATGCATAAAGCTGATATAAGAAGGTTTAAGTGAGGTTAGTTACATATAACTACAATAATGAAAACATACTAGATTTATGAATGAAAATATGAGAACGGAAATCGTAATAACTGTCAGTCGCTAACAAAATGGTGCAAATATGGAAGACGCGGGAAACGTAACTTTCCCTACTGATTGATTAGTATACTGTGCTACTAACAAACTACCTTTTTTCGCACAACTTCTGCACGAACTGATGAGTAACGTCATTGGTATTATAAATCGAATAGCGTCGACTATTTTTATAGGATGTTGACATTGGCAAAAATATCGCTAAATACGTATCAGAATTTGAAAAATACATTACCTTTATTGCGTTTTCAATATTATGGTAAAAAATAATATTGCGATATATTATTCTAGCAAAAGTATCGGTTCCAATTTTTAAATATTTGATATTTATAGAAGGGGTTTACAAAAATCACTCCAGAGGCTCAGATTATCTTTGGCCTTGTTATTCATATTTAACTTTAAGAACTAGAATGCGATGTCCATATCACTACGAATTAATTGTTGTGATCCTCCAGTATAAAATACCACAGTGGAACATAAAACAAGTGGACTTTTTACCAAACCAATTCAAACGATAATTTAAATGAGTTCAAAATCAACCACAAACGTTCGCCATTATTCCATGGCTAGAAATTGGGTGATGTCATGTTTATGGTTGGGTACGGTAGTGCGACTATGCAGCCTGGGATGCGCTTTGCTAAGGTGGCCCTTAGGCTAGCGCGGAA